ACTCCCGTACCTAGGCAGTCGGAACATTGGAGTCGACCCAGATTGACCACCATGCAAGGTCTGAAGCCTGAGGAGTTCGGAATTGCGCTTGGCACACCCCTTAGATGACAACTTGTGCCGCGATCAGCGGCCCACAACGGTGCACACCCTCCTCGTCTTCATCAGAGACCTTTCTGAGGTAATAATTGGCAAAAACCGAGTCAGAACGCCAGTTCCCGCAACAACCCCGCAATATTCTGTGAACACATATATTGGAGTGTAGGGCAAATGTTGCCGCTAGTGCCCTGATCTCATGCGGGTATGACCCGCAACCGGTACGCCAGATTGATGACAGAACGAAGACATAACGCAATCGAGTTGCGAGTTATGTCAGCAGTCCGATTAGGGTTACACGATGTGAACAGACGGTCCCGCCCTTGTCTGCGTACATTCAAAGCCTTAAGATAATAATTAAGGGCCCTAACTGGACACAGCGATCTGTCCTCGGTATCAGCAGGGTGTAAGATTTCCTTGAGTGATCTTACACTGAATTCTCTCTCCGTTTGGCCAAATTTCTGATTCCTTCGTCGCCCCTATCGAATCGTACCTTGTTGACATTGAGTGGGTGAATTTCAGACACACGTGCCGCCGTGGCAAAGGAGAGGAGAAATGCTGTTTTCCAAGTCACATGCCGAAACGAAGCATTTTTCAAGGGTTCATATCGAGCTTCCGTAAGCGATTTCAACACCAGGGAAAGATCCCAGGCAGGAGCCCGAAGGCGACCTTTCTTAAGATCTTGCTGTTTAAAACCCTTGATAACATCCACGCATGCAGATTGAAGTGCCCTGCGCTTGGATGAAGCTGACGGGTGTGAGGGTGGATCAGGAGATCCGGTCTCACAGGCAGTGGAAGCGGCGACTGCGTGACCTGGGCCAGCAAGTCAGGGTACCACGATCTGTTCGGCCACATGGGCGCGATCAGTAACATTGGACAGCGAACTCCTCGGAGCCGGCTTAGAATGAGTGGTATTAACGCCGTCGGCAGGTATGCATAAGCGTCCATGCCCGTCCAGTCTAATGCGAGAGCATCGTGATCGATGGCCCTCGGGTCAGGGACTGGCGATACAAACAACGGGAGTTGATTGTTGAACCTGGTTGCGAACAGGTCGACCATAGGACGACCCAAACGTTCGCACAGCCACTGAACACTACTGGGTTGAGCATCCACTCTGTGGGGCTTGGATCCCGAGGCCTTGATAGAGCGTCGGCCAGTATGTTCCGCACACCGGGGATGTGACAGGCGTGTACCTGGCACGGGACACTGTCCACCAGAGCGTAAAACTCGAGCGTGAGATCGAGTAGCGAGTGACTGTGGGTTCCCCCCAGTTTGTTCACATAGGACGCTACCGTCGTGTTGTCGGTCGCCAGCCTGAGCTGGGCGTCGACAAGACGATGCTTCCAGTGAATGACTGCGTTGATCACTGCCTTGAACTCGAGGCAATTGATGTGAAGACCTAGTTTGTCTACACACCACAGCCCCGAGCTCACCTCCCCCTCTAGATGGGCGCCCCAGCCCACTAGAGAGGCGCCTGTATACAGGTTCAACGTGAGACTCCTGAAAAGACGTTGCAAGGGACCATCCACCGCTCCAGATGCGGTAAAGAGATCGAGTAGCGAGTGACTGTGGGTTCCCCCCAGTTTGTTCACATAGGACGCTACTGTCGTGTTGTCGGTCGCCAGCATGAGCTTGGCGTCGACAAGACGATGCTTCCAGTGAGTGACTGCGTTGATCACTGCCTTGAACTCGAGGCAATTGATGTGAAGACCTAGTTTGTCTATGCACCACAGCCCCGAGCTCACCTCCCCCTCTAGATGGGCGCCCCAGCCCACTAGAGAGGCGCCTGTATACAGGTTCAACGTGAGACTCCTGAAAAGACGTTGCAAGGGACCATCCACCGCTCCAGATGCGGTCAAGAGATCGAGTAGCGAGTGACTGTGGGTTCCCCCCAGTTTGTTCACATAGGACGCTACTGTCGTGTTGTCGGTCGCCAGCATGAGCTTGGCGTCGACAAGACGATGCTTCCAGTGAGTGACTGCGTTGATCATTGCCTTGAACTCGAGGCAATTGATGTGAAGACCTAGTTTGTCTACGCACCACAGCCCCGGCCCACTAGAGAGACGTCTGTATACAGGTTTTAACGTGGCCCTGATAAGACGTTGCAAGGGACCGTCCACCACTCCAGATGGTCGCACTGTTCTCCTCCTGTGCTAACAACTGGATTAGAAATCGTTGCAGCGGGCAGAGTTGGAGACGACCCGGATCGGTGCATTCCTGGGCTGACGCAAGTAGCCCTAACAGCTGTTCCCAAAAGTGAACAGTCTGTTGCACCGATAAGACTTTGGCAATCCACCCCAATTGCTTCAAGAGCCGATGTGCGAAATCGAGCTGACAAGACAGCACGTCTGTCATTCGATTTGCAACTAGCGAGTCGTCCAGGTACGCGAAGTACCTGACACACTCCGTTTAGGGGCACCACCCAGGCGTCTGTGCAGAGACCCAACTAGATCCAACGTGTGCCGCGAACCCGCGGTAGACGAAACAGAACACCAGGAATCCGGATATTAAACAGGGTCTGCGCAGACCAAGGCTGCGAAAGGGACATCTTGGTTAGCGGCGTCCAACCCAGAGGAGGCAAGGTACGCTTGTCGCCTCAAGAAATGGCACGTGCTGGAACAACCAGTTTGGAGTCCACCAGTTGAGACAATAAGGCCGTGACGGAATCCCCAGACAGCCCAAGAGCCGCCAGGGGATCCGCCGCTGTGGAGGTAGTGCCCGCAAGGGGCGCCCGACCAGACGAACCGGCCACCTCAGGGGTGATAGCAGAGTGCGCGTAGCGCCTGTATCGCTCAAAGTCCTCCGGCCTCAGACCCTCACACTGGGTGCACTGGGTGTCCTCGCAAGGAACCCGACACCGTGGGCAACATTGTTACAACATACAAACCAAACATATTCACAAAACGGATATTTTCCGAAGAAAAACAAACGATAAATGCGAATACATAAAATACATATAATACAATTATATATATATTAATAGGTGATGCAAAAAAAACCTCATATATACCACTAAAGGTGGACGGAAGACACGAAGTGCCGACGCCACACCCCGTTAGTAGCGAAAAGCCACACCCCGTTAGTAGCAAAAAAAGGCGGGAAAATTTAGGCAGGAAAATTTACCCAGCGCCTTATTACGAACGCCCAGAAAATTACAGTTTACTTAGGACTAAGAAACAGTAATAAATATCACCAAAGGTTTGGCAGGAGGCGAAAACAGGACCGTAGTAGGAACGCAGGAGAGCAGTCACAAAATGTCTTGCTAGGGCAAGCGAAGAGACAAGAGTCAAGGGTGTAACATGACAGCATAGGTGGCTAGGCACGTGCTGCATGAGGTAATTGAGATCTCTGTGGAAGATTTCGCTATAAGAGCAGTTGTGGGAGACAACAGCCTCGGTATAACAGTGGTAACGTATTACTTAATTTAATTATTTGTTATACTCCGTAAGTGTTGTTGCCATGGAAATGTAAAAAATAAAAATTTATAAAATTCCTAAATAGCAAAAGGCACCAGTTCAGTATGTGCCTGGTAGACATGCAAAGTTTTGTAAGAAAGTATTTAACAGTTTTTGAGTTACACTCCGGAAATGAACACCACCCTTATAGAACCTTTAGTCCAAATTGTTGCCATGGAAACGTAAAAAATAAAAATTTCTAAAATTCCTTAGTAGCAAAAGGTACCAGTTCAGCATGAGTCTGATAGACATGCAAAGTTTCGTAGAGAAATATTTAACTGTTTCCGAGTTATGCTCCGGAAATGATTTCGGGACGCACACACACATGCACAGGACAGACGGATGGACGGAACCCATTTCTATATCCCCTGCCCTGGGGAATAAAAACAACAACCCAATACTAAAAAAACCAATGCGATCCTATATAGCACGCAGTTACTTCCCTTTACACATGCACTGCTTTAATGCACAGATCGTGTTATTCTCATGGTAGCAATAGGAGTTTGTATGCTTGTTTATGTAGGTTGAGGGGCAGTGAGGTGAGGCGAGGTGAAATGGGGTTTAACGTCGTGTCCAAGATCATTGCACTTATATAGCGATGTGCATGCACGTCTGTTTGTGTATGTAGCTGCTTGTAGTAGTCTGTACTGATGCCGATTTATAGTGCTAGCTCACTGAGTTACCATGACACAGTTTAACATGAATATCCCACTCAGACACAGTATACTGACTCCAAGCTGACCAGTCTTTGTTTTAGCCCCTTAATGCCGAGCATTAGACAGGGTAACAACAAGTATCTTTTAACGTCTTTTGGTATGATGTGGCCGGAGATTGAACCCCAGACCTTCCACCCTCTGGGCGGATGCACTACCACTAGATCACAGAGGCAGTCTTGTTTATGTAGGGAGGCCCTTTCCCAGGTTGTTGGTATTAATTTGCTTACATACAAGTTTGAACAAGCAAAAAAAAACCACCACCTGCCTGCACTATATTTTCAAAAGTCATTGCCTGAGAACCAATTCTTTTCTTTTTTAAGCCTAAGTACTGAGTTTTGCCGTCAGAATAACCATCTGACCCTGCTGCAGTGCTTGGTAGGCTCCTCTCTAGTCTTGTAATTCTCTTTCCCACCATAAATGATGGGAACATCTTTGTAATCTGGGCTGGTTATCCTTTTCGATGCTATCTACCCATTCTTCTCACAGTTTTCATAGATATGTGGTCTTCTAAAGTGTTAAATGGAGGGCTTCAATCAGTGAACGCAGTCATATAATTTTAATGAATATTAATACAATGGTCGGTAGAAATTATATCTAGAATCTATATAAAGAAACTATATTTGAACAGGAATAATTTAAAGAGGGAGTTCTGTTGGTTCCCGGGGGATCCTACGCAGAACCCACCCAACCCGGGTACCCGAGTAACCCGTCCCAGCCCTAATACATCTTCACCTACTTTTTGGTCCCACTTTTGACCTCCACTTCAGGTGCCGCGTCCACTGTTCCTGCTGTCTCCATGGTAACCAGATCAGAGGTGACATACTTGTCTTCCACGTCCCGCTTGTGCTGCACATCCTCCTTCTTGCGATATTCCTCCACTGCACGCTTCCTGCACCCACAGAACAAGTCAACTTACTCCACGTCAACACAGTGTTCAATCTAGGAATGTTGGATTTGAAGGTCTAGAAGTAAACTTATACGTTGCTCTTCCACCCAAAGCCAGAGACCTAACTACACAAGAACAGAACCTTTTGATGCAAAATATCTGTGACAAACTGTTAACATACCTATAACTTAATCTTAAGTGTCAAAGCAGACATTTTTCAAAAAGCACATCCAAAGAACTTATATACACTGAGGTTGCAGCTGTCAAACGTATATTGTACTTTATTTCATGTAAACTCCCAACCGGCAGCTGTCAAATGTATATTGTACTCTATTTCATGTAAACTCCCAACCGGCAGCTGTCAAATGTATATTGTACTCTACTTCATGTAAACTCCCAACCGGCAGCTGTCAAATGTATATTGTACTCTATTTCATGTAAACTCCCAACCGGCAGCTGTCAAATGTATATTGTACTCTACTTCATGTAAACTCCCAACCGGCAGCTGTCAAATGTATATTGTACTCTATTTCATGTAAACTCCCAACCGGCAGCTGTCAAATGTATATTGTACTCTACTTTATGTAAACTTCCAACCGGCAGCTGTCAATGTATATTGTACTCTATTTCATCTAAACTCCCAACCGGCAGCTGTCAAATGTATATTGTACTCTATTTCATGTAAACTCCCAACCGGCAGCTGTCAAATGTATATTGTACTCTACTTCATGTAAACTCCCAACCGGCAGCTGTCAGATGTATATTGTACTTTATTTCATGTAAACTCCCAACCGGCAGCTGTCAAATGTATATTGTACTCTACTTTATGTAAACTTCCAACCGGCAGCTGTCAAATGTATATTGTACTCTACTTTATGTAAACTTCCAACCGGCAGCTGTCAATGTATATTGTACTCTATTTCATGTAAACTCCCAACCGGCAGCTGTCAAATGTATATTGTACTCTATTTCATGTAAACTCCCAACCGGCAGCTGTCAATGTATATTGTACTCTATTTCATGTAAACTCCCAACCGGCAGCTGTCAAATGTATATTGTACTCTATTTCATGTAAACTCCCAACCGGCAGCTGTCAAATGTATATTGTACTCTACTTCATGTAAACTCCCAACCGGCAGCTGTCAAATGTATATTGTACTCTATTTCATGTAAACTCCCAACCGGCAGCTGTCAAATGTATATTGTACTCTATTTCATGTAAACTCCCAACGGGCAGCTGTCAAATGTATATTGTACTCTACTTTATGTAAACTTCCAACCGGCAGCTGTCAATGTATATTGTACTCTATTTCATGTAAACTCCCAACCGGCAGCTGTCAAATGTATATTGTACTCTATTTCATGTAAACTCCCAACCGGCAGCTGTCAAATGTATATTGTACTCTACTTTATGTAAACTCCCAACCGGCAGCTGTCAAATGTATATTGTACTTTATTTCATGTAAACTCCCAACCTGCAGCTGTCAAATGTATATTGTACTCTACTTTATGTAAACTTCCAACCGGCAGCTGTCAATGTATATTGTACTCTATTTCATGTAAACTCCCAACCGGCAGCTGTCAAATGTATATTGTACTCTATTTCATGTAAACTCCCAACCGGCAGCTGTCAATGTATATTGTACTCTATTTCATGTAAACTCCCAACCGGCAGCTGTCAAATGTATATTGTACTCTATTTCATGTAAACTCCCAACCGGCAGCTGTCAAATGTATATTGTACTCTACTTCATGTAAACTCCCAACCGGCAGCTGTCAAATGTATATTGTACTCTATTTCATGTAAACTCCCAACCGGCAGCTGTCAAATGTATATTGTACTCTATTTCATGTAAACTCCCAACGGGCAGCTGTCAAATGTATATTGTACTCTACTTTATGTAAACTTCTAACCGGCAGCTGTCAATGTATATTGTACTCTATTTCATGTAAACTCCCAACCGGCAGCTGTCAAATGTATATTGTACTCTATTTCATGTAAACTCCCAACCGGCAGCTGTCAAATGTATATTGTACTCTACTTCATGTAAACTCCCAACCGGCAGCTGTCAAATGTATATTGTACTTTATTTCATGTAAACTCCCAACCTGCAGCTGTCAAATGTATATTGTACTCTACTTTATGTAAACTTCCAACCGGCAGCTGTCAAATGTATATTGTACTCTATTTTATGTAAACTTCCAACCGGCAGCTGTCAATGTATATTGTACTCTATTTCATGTAAACTCCCAACCGGCAGCTGTCAAATGTATATTGTACTCTATTTCATGTAAACTCCCAACCGGCAGCTGTCAATGTATATTGTACTCTATTTCATGTAAACTCCCAACCGGCAGCTGTCAAATGTATATTGTACTCTACTTCATGTAAACTCCCAACCGGCAGCTGTCAAATGTATATTGTACTCTACTTTATGTAAACTCTCAACCGGCAGCTGTCAAATGTATATTGTACTCTATTTCATGTAAACTCCCAACCGGCAGCTGTCAAATGTATATTGTACTCTATTTCATGTAAACTCCCAACCGGCAGCTGTCAAATGTATATTGTACTCTATTTCATGTAAACTCCCAACCGGCAGCTGTCAAATGTATATTGTACTCTATTTCATGTAAACTCCCAACCGGCAGCTGTCAAATGTATATTGTACTCTATTTCATGTAAACTCCCAACCGGCAGCTGTCAAATGTATATTGTACTCTATTTCATGTAAACTCCCAACCGGCAGCTGTCAAATGTATATTGTACTCTATTTCATGTAAACTCCCAACCGGCAGCTGTCAAATGTATATTGTACTCTATTTCATGTAAACTCCCAACCGGCAGCTGTCAAATGTATATTGTACTTTATTTAAGAATTGACTTTCACTTTGTGTGAGTTCATTGGAGTATGAACCTTTATAGAGTGAGGGCCAAACTGTATGAACATCGGAGCTTGCAACGACGTTCATACAATGTTTGGCCCTCACTCTATGAAGGTTCATACTCCAATGAACTTACACAAAGTGAAAGTCTATTCTTATAATTTTTTTATCAAAATTTCTTACCTCAAAGGGTGTAGGCCAAGATCTAAACACAATTTTATTTAGTACGTGTGACTTCATGTTTACACTGACAGCCATACAACAACCAGCTATATCACGGAGTAAAATAGTTCCTCAAAAAGAGAGGTGACATGGGCATATGGATGCACAACTTGCTCTTCAGAAACATCTTACGCAGCACATGTGTTCAAACCATATCCTCATTAGATGAGAAAGGTCTGTAAAGAACTACCTCTGTAAGTCAGTCACAATGACAGCGCGTCGTAATACATTTACATCAAGTACAAGACGTCGAAATGTCCGACACGATAAACGTGACGGGAGAGATTTCCAAAGTTGGTAAATTAAATGAACCTGTGGCGGTTACATGAGTTAGTCATCATTGATCAACTGGCCGATCATTGAAAGGTGAATAAAGATACGTCAAACATACACTAAGGTAAATTCATAGATTGCTGGAGACGGTCAATGTCAGCCAAGGCACGGATCAATACTACGATAGTTTAGATACATGTGCATTTCATCGTTTGTTCATTAGGATAGGCCGCAGCGAGGATATTCATGAACAATCATGCAGTCACGCTCTCTGACGTTTCTCAATGTATACTGAAACGCTGAGACCAGGAATAAAGGTTCTTAATGATCAGAAAGAACGCTAATGTATGTTTTCGTGCTAGGGAATTCCCAGGGGTTTCCCCAGGAATGTGGAAGTAGTTCGTCAGTGTTTACGTCATTTCAAGAACACGGTCTCGTGAAAAACGTATGAACGACAAATTGTGTTGTTCATACATTTATGAACATCAATTTCGCGGTCATGTGACCGACCTCTAGTCCAATGGAAAAGCCGTATATCGTGTAAACTTCAAATTAAAAAATTATTTCATGTAAACTCCCAACCGGCAGCTGTCAAATGTATATTGTACTCTATTTCATGTAAACTCCCAACCGGCAGCTGTCAAATGTATATTGTACTCTATTTCATGTAAACTCCCAACCGGCAGCTGTCAAATGTATATTGTACTCTATTTCATGTAAACTCCCAACCGGCAGCTGTCAAATGTATATTGTACTCTATTTCATGTAAACTCCCAACCGGCAGCTGTCAAATGTATATTGTACTTTATTTCATGTAAACTCCCAACCGGCAGCTGTCAAATGTATATTGTACTTTATTTCATGTAAACTCCCAACCGGCAGCTGTCAAATGTATATTGTACTCTATTTCATGTAAACTCCCAACCGGCAGCTGTCAAATGTATATTGTACTCTATTTCATGTAAACTCCCAACCGGCAGCTGTCAAATGTATATTGTACTCTATTTCATGTAAAGTCCCAACCGGCAGCTGTCAAATGTATATTGTACTCTATTTCATGTAAACTCCCAACCGGCAGCTGTCAAATGTATATTGTACTCTATTTCATGTAAACTCCCAACCGGCAGCTGTCAAATGTATATTGTACTCTATTTCATGTAAACTCCCAACCGGCAGCTGTCAAATGTATATTGTACTCTATTTCATGTAAACTCCCAACCGGCAGCTGTCAAATGTATATTGTACTCTATTTCATGTAAACTCCCAACCGGCAGCTGTCAAATGTATATTGTACTCTATTTCATGTAAACTCCCAACCGGCAGCTGTCAAATGTATATTGTACTCTATTTCATGTAAACTCCCAACTGGCAGCTGTCAAATGTATATTGTACTCTATTTCATGTAAACTCCCAACCGGCAGCTGTCAAATGTATATTGTACTCTATTTCATGTAAACTCCCAACCGGTAGCTGTCAAATGTATATTGTACTCTATTTCATGTAAACTCCCAACCGGCAGCTGTCAAATTATTGTACTCTACTTTATGTAAACTCCCAACTAGCAGCTGTCAAAGAATAGTCCTTTAGTCCTTGCCAAACACTGTACATTGTACTCTACACTGTAAACTCCTACCTGGCAGCCTCCCTCTTTAACTTTTCGTGTTTCATCAGCAGCCTCTTCCTCTCTATAAATGTCTTCCTCACACGGTAGCCTCGAAATGCCGACTACAACACAGAACATCACAGATCAGCCAGCCATCCAGCCACCTCCATGTTGATCAAATGCAAATCATACATTACTAGTATCCTGCATAATGACTGGCCCACCAATAGCATCACATCTACGTCAGACTATGAGTTTGTTGATACAACATCATCTCGAAAGAAATATATCTATAATATATAAATAAGCATTTCTTTCACAAACCCAACCAACAGGTAATACTAAAATTTTAGACCAGGGGTGGCTACTGAAGTTCATGAAAACTTTTGACGTTTACAGAACTTTACAAAGTATCTGTGCCTCTTATGGAAATTTGTAAAATTTTCCTATTCGGAATATTCTATAAGTAATATGTTACCACTGTTATACCGAGGCTGTTGTCTCCCACAACTGCTCTTATAGCGAAACCTACCAGAGAGATCTCAATTACCTCATGCAGCACGTGCGTAGCCACCTAGCTGCCATGTGACACCCTTCACTCTTGTCTCTAGCGAGAGCAAGTGCTTGGAGGACGGTCGGGCAGGCATCAGCCCAAGTGGTAACGTATTACTTATAGAATATTCCGAATAGGAAAATTCTACAAATTACATGAAGTAATACGTTACCACTGTTATACCGAGGCTGACTACCACAGTAGGCGGTGGGGAGCACCTACAACCCGAACCTGACTGCTCATGTTCCTTCCGACCAGCGGAAGTAAACACCAAGGCTGAAGCACTCGATGCGCATGCTCCTAGCTTGGCGTTACCCTATAGGAATACCAAAGCACTGTCAAGCGCATACTGTAAGGCTCAATCGTCTTTGCCAAACGATTGGTGACTCCAAATGGCCTCACTGGATAGGTATTTCATCGCCGAAGCGGATGAGAACACAGTATCCGTGTGAGCTAAATCTTAGATCAGGTTAAACAGTCAGAAAGAGGGAAATTAATTTCATTCGGACCGTATATCCCAGAGCAAGCCTACTTCAAGTATGCATTAGGCGCGTGACCTAATTCCAGTATTTGTAAGCGTGCATTACGAGGTTGGAATACATGACAGACAATTAAATACATAATTGTCAAAATACAAATAAGGATAAAACACACAAAAAGCCGCCCTCACCTGTGGTGTGAGTGCGCTGGTTTGCGGGACCCCCACTCCTGTACCCATGGCAGTGGGAACATTGGAGTCGACCCAGATTGACCACAGTGCAAGGTCTGACGCCTGAGGAGTTCGGGTTTGTGCTGGGCACACCCCTTAGATGACCGCTTGCGCCGCGATCAGCGGCCCAAGACGGTGCACACCCTCCACGTCTTCATCAGAAACCTTTCTGAGGTAATGATTGGTAAAAACTGAGTCAGAACGGATCACGTGCGGGTTTGATCTTCGTGCCAGATTGATGACAGAACGAAGCCATAACGCAATCGAGTTGCGAGTGACGTCAGCAGTCCGATTAGGGTTACACGATATGAACAGACGGTCATGCCCTTGTCCGCGTTCATTCGAGGCCTTAAGATAATAATTAAGGGCCCTAACCGGACACAGTGATCTGTCCTCAGTATCAGCAGGATGTAAGATTTCCTTGAGTGATCTTACACTGAATTCTCTCTCCGTTTGGCCAAATTTCTGATTCTTAGCGACGAAGCCCATGAGCAGGCCCAGGCGGACCGCTCTTTCGTCGCCCCTATCGAATCGTACTTTAGTGACATCGAGTGCATGAATCTCAGACACACGTGCCGCCGTGGCAAAGGAGAGGAGGAATACTGTTTTCCAAGTCACAGGCCGAAACGAAGCACTACTCAAGGGTTCATACGGAGCTTCCGTAAGTGATTTCAACACTAAGGAAAGATCCCAGGCCGGTGTCCGAAGGCGGCCTTTCTTAAGATCTTGCTGTTTGAAACCCTTGATAATACCCCAAATCACCGGCTCTTTTGAGAGACTGGTACCCATAGCAACGTCCCAACATAGAGACATAGTGGCAATGGAACCCCCGGAGAGTTTCCGGGTCTCTCATAAGCGAGACATGAAACAAGCAACGTCCTGCACAGATATCTTATCTGGCAAATGAATGTGATGTTTACAACACCACTTCGTGAAAATAGCCCAGCGTGCATTATACACCTTCTGGGTAGAATCACCATGCATACTAACGTATGCCCGAGACGCCCGACGAGAAAAACCTTTATTCCTCAGTCGCTCGGTGACAACATCCATGCGTGCAGACTGAACTGCCCTGCGTTTGGATGAAGTTGACGGGTGTGAGGGTGGATCCGCCGCAGCTGTGGCGGTGGTACCCACAAGGGGACCCCGACCGGAAGAGCCGGCCAACACAGGGGTGGAAACAGACTGCACGTACAGCCTGTAGCGCCCAGACCCTCGCACAGGGTCGCGAAGACAAGACAGCTAGTGAAGACAAGCATCAAGGATGTCACATGTCAGCTAGATGGCCACGCACCTGCTGCATCAGGTAATTCAGATCTCTCTGGTAGATTTCGCTATAAGAGCAGTTATGGTAGACAACAGCCTCGGTATAACAGTGGTAACATATTACTTAATGTAATATTATGGTTAAAGCCATGGTTAGAGTACACATCTCAGGAAACAGATGAATCTACGTTTGATGCATTTAGATTGAATATCTGGTGGTGTCACCAGCAACACATGCATGTGACCAGCACTAGACACACAGCAGACTATGATGCCAGAGTTTCTATGTCACTTAGCATCAGCAGCATCAGTTGCAGGACACTCACCTGTATTTTCTGTGCTGCAATGTCCTGTATGCCAGTGATGGAGAGGGCCCCCTGTTCTATCATGTACTGGGCAACGTCATGGTGCTCACCCATCAATGCGTAGTCTAGAGGTGTGTACCTGCCAGTTCATAAGTCATTGGACAAACTAGCCGATATCAATCCCTTGCCATTTACATATATATATACATGAACTGAGATAGAATGAAATCTCCATTTATAGATGAAGCTTGACAAACATGTTGATAGCATTTCCTAGAAACATTTTCTGTTGTATGTTATTGTTGAGGCAAGCCAGGATCCCGGACCTACCTGTCTTCAGTGAACTCCATGTGGTTGACATAGGCCATGTGCTCCACCAGCAGCTTGACTGTGTCCAGGTGGCCCATACTGCAGGCCCAGTGCAGTGACGTCATCCCCTGGCGCCGACACAAGACAACATTACATATCAGCAGACAGCCTGGACTACTGACTGACAACAAACTGGAGCCCCTGGTGGACCAGCCAATAGACCAACACACATGGCAGTTTACATAACAGAGTGAGGAGGTCAATGTGTTTGATGATGTAGTCAGCCATCTTCCAGCTACATCATAACAGGCTTTAGATAATCCAGTCTGGATCAGGCGGCCAGTGACTAAGGCATGAGCAACGATCCTTGCTATCAGGGTATGACGTGATGCCATCAGCCAAGCCACATTGTCTGCCAACCACATTTTTCTGACAAGCATAGGTTACTCGGAACCAGTGCTATCCCAGAATCCCCAAAAGAACATAAGACACCGACATATCTCTAGGTGTCTTATCTTATCAAGTATGAATGAAGCAATAATACTAAAAGCAGAAAGGGTGTTATGGGTCATATACTGCACTGATTGGCTTGGTGTATAGTTCCTGAACTCATGCCAGACACGACAGTGCATCCACCTCTGCTCCATTAGAGTCACTGACCACAAGCTTAATCATTTTTCAGCCTGTAGCTTGACACCCGGTGTCCAACCCTTACTGTGACACATGTAGCACTAACCTCATTATCCTGTGTGCTGGGATCAGCCTTGTGCTCCATCAACACAGACATACAGTTTACAAAACCTCCATAAGCTGCACACTGGATGGGGGTACGCCTGCAACTCACACACAGTTGACAAAGCTCAATGACTGACTATGACAGTCCAGTTTCCATCCTTGCCAAAACTAGGCTGCAATTTTGCGGATCATAATGCCACCATTGGCTATTATAAGTTATGTTCCTTACATGTCCCTCCTATTGACCAATCAGATTCCAACTCTCGTATTACTTGCATAAAAGTGGCAGTGCCCAGTCAAGAAAATCTGATTGATAATCAAGATCTAAATTGTAATAAAACGGGTCTTACCTCGCAAAGTAACTAAAGCACTAAAGCACGGCAGATTACCCATGTATGTCAATTTTGTTTCACAATTTTGATTGGATTATGCATAGACTTATGTTAGTCCAGCCAAAATATACCTCCATAATTCCACTGGTGAACTGTCCCGTCCAACTACTCACTCACTGGTGTCAACTGTCATGTCCCACTACTCACTGGTGTCAACTGTCATGTCCCACTATTCACTGGTGTCAACTGTCATATCCCACTACTCACTGGTGTCAACTGTCACGTCCCACTACTCACTGGTGTCATCTGTCATGTCCCTCTAGTCACTGGTGTCAACTGTCACGTCCCACTACTCACTGGTGTCAACTGTCATGTCCCACAGCTCATTGGTGTCCACTGTCATGTCCCACTACTCATTGGTGTCCACTGTCACGTCCAACTACTCACTGGTGTCAACTGTCACGTCCCACTACTCACTGGTGTCATCTGTCACGTCCCACTACTCACTGGTGTCAACTGTCATGTCCCACTACTCACTGGTGTCAACTGTCATGTCCCACTACTCATTGGTGTCCACTGTCATGTCCCACTACTCATTGGTGTCCACTGTCACGTCCCACTACTCACTGGTGTCAACTGTCACGTCCCACTACTCACTGGTGTTAACTGTAACGTCCCACTATTCACTGGTGTCCACTGTCATATCCCACTACTCACTGGTGTCAACTGTCACGTCCCACTACTCACTGGTGTCCACTGTCATGTCCCACTACTCACTGGTGTCAACTGTCACGTCCCACTACTCACTGGTGTCAACTGTCATATCCCACTACTCACTGGTGTCATCTGTCACGTCCCACTACTCACTGGTGTCAACTGTCATGTCCCACAGCTCATTGGTGTCCACTGTCATGTCCCACTACTCATTGGTGTCCACTGTCACGTCCAACTACTCACTGGTGTCAACTGTCACGTCCCACTACTCACTGGTGTCATCTGTCACGTCCCACTACTCACTGGTGTCAACTGTCATGTCCCACTACTCACTGGTGTCAACTGTCATGTCCCACTACTCATTGGTGTCCACTGTCATGTCCCACTACTCATTGGTGTCCACTGTCACGTCCCACTACTCACTGGTGTCAACTGTCACGTCCCACTACTCACTGGTGTTAACTGTAACGTCCCACTATTCACTGGTGTCCACTGTCATATCCCACTACTCACTGGTGTCAACTGTCACGTCCCACTACTCACTGGTGTCCACTGTCATGTCCCACTACTCACTGGTGTCAACTGTCACGTCCCACTACTCACTGGTGTCATCTGTCACGTCCCACTACTCACTGGTGTCAACTGTCATGTCCCATTACTCACTGGTGTCAACTGTCACGTCCCACTACTCACTGGTGTCAACTGTCACGTCCCACTACTCACTGGTGTCAACTGTCATGTCCCACTACTCACTGGTGTCAACTGTCATGTCCCACTACTCATTGGTGTCCACTGTCATGTCCCACTACTCATTGGTGTCCACTGTCACGTCCCACTACTCACTGGTGTTAACTGTCACGTCCCACTATTCACTGGTGTCAACTGTCATATCCCACTACTCACTGGTGTCAACTGTCACGTCCCACTACTCACTGGTGTCCACTGTCATGTCCCACTACTCACTGGTGTCAACTGTCACGTCCCACTACTCACTGGTGTCAACTGTCATATCCAGCTACTCACTGGTGTCAACTGTCACGTCCCACTACTCACTGGTGTCATCTGTCACGTCCCACTACTCACTGGTGTCAACTGTCATGTCCCATTACTCACTGGTGTCAACTGTCACGTCCCACTACTCACTGGTGTCAACTGTCACGTCCCACTACTCACTGGTGTCAACTGTCACGTCCCACTACTCACTGGTGTCAACTGTCATGTCCCACTACTCACTGGTGTCAACTGTCATGTCCCACTTCTCATTGGTGTCCACTGTCATGTCCCACTACTCATTGGTGTCCACTGTCACGTCCCACTACTCACTGGTGTCAACTGTCATATCCCACTACTCTATGGTGTCAACTGTCACGTCCCACTACTCACTGGTGTCATCTGTCACGTCCCACTACTCACTGGTGTCAACTGTCATGTCCCATTACTCACTGGTGTCAACTGTCACGTCCCACTACTCACTGGTGTCAACTGTCACGTCCCACTACTCACTGGTGTCATCTGTCACGTCCCACTACTCACTGGTGTCAACTGTCACGTCCAAATACTCACTGGTGTCCACTGTCACGTCCCACTACTCACTGGTATCAACTGTCACGTCCCACTACTCACTGGTGTCCACTGTCACGTCCCACTACTCACTGGTGTCCACTGTCATGTCCCACTACTCACTGGTGTCAACTGTCATGTCGAGTACTCACCCGGTTGTGTCCCTGATGTTGGGGTCCACTCCAAACTTGATGAGAGTCTGGCAGATGTAGGCATGACCCCCGAGTGCCGCCCTACAGCAGAGGGACAGCTACATTATATACATGTTGATACTGTGGAGCACTCTACACCGATACATACATGCCTGTGATCTAAACTTGAAAAGTCATTCCAAATGCTGTTAACAGCTATCAAGCACAAGGACAGAACTTTGGGGATACAATGTCTGAAATATTTCATTTCATTAGCCTTGATCTCTCTGGGATAATGTTTTTTAAATTTAGAATCTGTCTAAATCCGTACATTATTCAACTATGTATATATATGAATAATGACCATGACACCCTGAAGTACACCCACCAGTGTAGAGGAGACCTGCCATCCTGATCTACGACGTCCACCTTGGCCCCAGCATCAATGAGAGTCTGCACCACGTCCGTCTGACCTGACTCACAGGCCCTGAAAAGAGGCGTGTGTTTCATCAGGTCCACTGCATCGATGTCAGCCCTGTACTCCAGCAGGATGCGCACTGTGCTGGTGTGGCCGGAATAAGCTGCAGCATGGAGGGCTGGAGGAAAACAAACAGTGGCTGTGTATTCACCATGTATACAGATGCCAAGGCTTGAAGGACGCTCACTTTCCGATACCTATAATGATAGCCAGACCTACCCTAGCAAAGGCCAGACAGCCATTCACCTTACAGAATGTGCAGTCTGTATGTTGCCCACAATGTGTCAACCCCTCTCTGTAGGACACACACTACTAACCCAACTTACAGAATGTGCATCTGTAGAACACACACTACTGACCCTCCTTACAGAATGTGCATCTGTAGAACACACACTACTGGCTCACCTTACAGAATGTGCATCTGTAGAACACACACTACTGACCCTCCTTACAGAATGTGCATCTGTAGAACACACACTACTAACCCAACTTACAGAATGTGCATCTGTAGAACACACACTACTGGCCCACCTTACAGAATGTGCATCTGTAGAACACACACTACTGACACTCCTTACAGAATGTGCATCTGTAGAACACACACTACTGGCCCTCCTTACAGAATGTGCATCTGTAGAACACACACTACTAACCCAACTTACAGAATGTGCATCTGTAGAACACACACTACTGACCCTCCTTACAGAATGTGCATCTGTAGAACACACACTACTGGCTCACCTTACAGAATGTGCATCTGTAGAACACACACTACTGACCCTCCTTACAGAATGTGCATCTGTAGAACACACACTACTAACCCAACTTACAGAATGTGCATCTGTAGAACACACACTACTGGCCCACCTTACAGAATGTGCATCTGTAGAACACACACTACTGACCCTCCTTACAGAATGTGCATCTGTAGAACACACACTACTAACCCAACTTACAGAATGTGCATCTGTAGAACACACACTACTGGCCCTCCTTAGAGAATGTGCATCTGTAGAACACACACTACTGACCCTCCTTAAAGAATGTGCATCTGTAGAACACACACTACTGACCCACATTACAGAATGTGCATCTGTAGAACACACACTACTGGCCCTCCTTACAGAATGTGCATCTGTAGAACACACACTACTGACACTCCTTACAGAATGTGCATCTGTAGAACACACACTACTGACCATCCTTACAGAATGTGCATCTGTAGAACACACACTACTAACCCAGCTTACAGAATGTGCATCTGTAGAACACACACTACTGACCCTCCTTACATAATGTGCATCTGTAGAACACACACTACTGGCCAAACTTACAGAATGTGCATCTATAGAATACACACTACTGACCATCCTTAGAGGATGTGCATCTGTAGAACACACACTACTGACCCTCCTTACAGAATGTGAATCTGTAGAACACACACTACTGGCCTTCCTTACAGAATGTGCATCTGTAGAACACACACTACTGCCCAACTTACAGAATGTGCATTTGTAGAACACACACTACTAACCCACCTGACAGATTGTGCATCTGTAGAACACACACTACTGACCCACCTTACAGAATGTGAATCTGTAAAACACACACTACTGACCCTCCTTATAGAATGTGCATCTGTAGAACACACACTACTGACCCTCCTTACAGAATGTGCATCTGTAGAACACACACTACTGACCCTCCTTACAGAATGTGCATCTGTAGAACACACACTACTGACCCTCCTTACAGAATGTGCATCTGTAGAACACACACTACTGACACTCCTTACAGAATGTTCATCTGAAGAACACACACTACTGGCCCTCCTTAAAGAATGTGCATCTGTAGAACACACACTACTGACCCACATTACAGAATGTGCATCTGTAGAACACACACTACTGGCTCACCTTACAGAATGTGCATCTGTAGAACACACACTACTGGCCCACCTTACAGAATGTGCATCTGAAGAACACACACTACTGGCCCTCCTTAAAGAATGTGCATCTGTAGAACACACACTACTGACCCACATTACAGAATGTGCATCTGTAGAACACACACTACTGGCCCTCCTTACAGAATGTGCATCTGTAGAACACACACTACTGGCTCACCTTAGAGATTGTGCATCTGTAGAACACACACTACTGTCTCTATGACATATGTTACCCACAATGTGACAACCCTTATCTGCAGAACACAAACCACTGATAATGGCACATTTCCCAAAGTTAAACCATGATTAGACGTTATGTCTTATTTTGAGTTCACAAACGACAAGGCACAATGTTCCATCCTTACATCTGGAAATAGATGATTGTATTATCCACCCAAGTGATTCTGCATGCAATTTGGAGTCATATTTGACTCAACTATGTGCCTGGAGAAACACATCAAAAACATCTATATATATATAAGATAGCTACACGACAAATTGCAAAGAACAATGAAGAAGGAAGTGTGACTTATTTCCTGATAAAACATTGTTCTATCATGATGTCATTTCTGGAGATTCAAACATGCGCCCGCAACTTGATGATGTATATTGGATGACATTATTTTATTTTTATGCGCCCCTCATGGTTACATCTCTCTGTAATGTCTTACTGTACGATAAACAACTCCCACTCATCATTTATTTCTTAAATAAGATATATCAGCCTAAAAAGAAATCATATTAACAACTCTAATCCAAGCATATGAGACCTCTAGAGCATATTACTGCAAATCTTTGCTCTACATGCTTCCAGAATATCTCTTGAGCAAGCTCCAGAAGTCCAATATTTATCAGCCATAGTTATTGCATGTACTAGGATTTTTAAACACATAACTCCTGTGCTGAAGGAATTGCACTGGCTTCAAAATCTGCCAAAGAATCCACTTCAAAAGACTTGTTTTAATGTCCACAGCATTTAACAATGCATCTTTAACAAGAAATACCTGCCATCATGTCCCCTCGGGTCATCAGATCAGCTCATGGCCAGGACTGTACAGTCACATGAAGAAGAGACAAATGATAGCACTTCGAGGGAGAGATACAAGGGCTTGCTGAAAAGTTCTAAGCCTAACTGTAAAAGACCCGCACCAAGTCGATTGTTTTCATTTTTTTCCCCACATAGTCCACTTCCAGGTTAACACACTTTTGCCGGCGATGTTGCAAGGCCTGGATACCGGTCAAGAAGAAATTTTCTTCAGCCACCCTAAAAAAGTCACTTACAGCGGAAAAGACGTCATCATTACTAGGAAAATGGCGACCGGCTAGTTCATTTTTCATTTTGGGAAACAGGTGGAAGTCTGACGGGGCCAAATCGAGTGAATAAGGGGGGTGGTCAATGAGTTCGAAGCCACAATCATGGATCGCTGACATGGCAACCACCAATTTGTGAACAGGAGCATTGTCTTGGTGGAACAGGACTCCTTTAGTGAGCATTCTCCGTCGCTTAGCTTTTATAGCTTCACGCAACTGTCTCAGTAGGTCAGCATAATATCTTCCATTGATAGTCTGGCCTTTTTCAAGATAGTCAATCAGCAGAATACCCTTGAAATCCCAAAAGACTGAAGCCATCACCTTTCCAGGAGAAGGAACCGACTTGGCTTTTTGGGGGGCTGGTGATTCCAGATGCTTCCATTGTTTAGACTGAATTTTGGTTTCTGGTTGAAAGTGATGAATCCAGGTCTCATCAATGGTTGCAAATCGGGCCAAAAAATCATCAGGATCTGCTTCAAAGCGGCATAAATTGTCACTGGACGTCAGGAATCTGACACGTTTCTGATCCGCTGTCAAGATCTTTGGCACCCATCTTGCAGAAACTTTTGTCATTCCCAACTCGTTGGTGATAATGTGTTGGTGAAGGTTGTCAGAGTCTTGCAGAGTTGGATTTGAAGAGGTAAGGCATTCCAAAGAATTGGTGCAGCATGAGAGAGTGATCTGTTTCCATAGGAAGACAGTTCAAACTTTGGGACTTGTGCTGGTTTTGAGAACAGAGCGATCTTGCAGGGATGTATGCTGTGACGAGTTCAGTGAGATATCTGGAAGCTTGATTGTGAAGGCACTTGAAGGTTATGCAGAGCAGCTTGAATTCAATTCGCTGTTTAATCGAAGCAAGTGTAAGGATTTTAAAACAGAGGAGATATGGTTTGACTTTGTTTTAAGAGAAATAATTTGTGAGGCTCTTTTCCGAACTTTTTGTAACTTGTAGAGTTGTGTTTTATTCAGGCCAGTTAGCAGCCTGTTGCAATGATTATTAGTTGACTTCTATCTTTTAAATAGGTCTGGAACTATGACAAGGCTTCACCTTCCACGCCGATGTGATGTTTAAGTGTGCGAAGCAGCAGTTCATTGTCTACAGAAGGCTGCGCTAGAGCCCAACAGTATCAAGTTTGCAGAGTCTCCAGAATCGACTATCCATCTTAGATCGCTAAGGCTTCAAAAATTAAAAGAATTGGTTCTCAGACAATGACTTTTGAAAATATAGTGCAGGCGGGCGGTGTTTTTGTTAGTTTGCTTGTTCAAACTAGTATGTAATCAAATAAACAGTTGTGTACCATCAACCTGGGAAAGACCTCCCTATATAAAAATATAAATACAAACTCCTATTGCCACCATAACACAAGATACACAGTGATCAAGAACCAAGACTATTATTTTTTTAGCCTTGGTACTCCAAGCAGCAAAGTTTCAGTTGGGTGATGTGGCCCATAAGCAGCCTGAAACTTATGGAGGATGTTATTCGCAGACATATGATCCAAGAGGCTCCTTGTTGCAGCTCACTCACTCAGTTTGGAAAGATATGGCAAGTTTGACACAGGTCAGTAGTTCTTTAAGATGGTGGAATCAAGTTTCAAGGTTTTTAATTTGTGTTTTGACAGTAGTGTTTTCTTAGGTCATCTGGAAATGCTCCTGTTGAGAAACTACTGTTGATGATTTCTGTGATAACTGGAAGTAGAGAGTTACTTATAAATCCATGAATGTATGCCCCACAGAATGATGTCTGCAGCAGAACGTACCTGTTTCTTCATGCTTGTCCATTTGTCTAATATCAACACAATGTTTTATAAATACACGGATAACATCGTCCGCCCCTTTGCCGGCTGCCCACATGAACGCTGTCCGCCCGTCTACATCACTCTCATCGGTCACCAGCTTGTGAGACAGGAAGACTTCCACAGTATCCTAAGTGAGTGAAAACCATATCATAAATGTTATTGTTCCCAAATGGCATTTATGCATTGTATTTTTCTGTATCTGACACTATTACAAGCCACAAGGCTCTGTAGCTCAGCTGAAAATTCCCTTGAATATTACAGTAAATCAAATGGTATAGAAAGGTTATGAAGGACAGGCAAAAGAAATACACTGTAACAGTATTCCTCTACCTCGCCCAAAGCAGTATACATGAAGATTAAAGATTGAAATTGTGAAAATATCCCAAAACACAGCAAAACAATTCCTGCAAATCCTTTACCTCTATTACATCATAGCCATGTTGAAAATCTGAAGATTAAGTTAGTGTGTCTGCAGCCAAAATACAAGATTTATGGCTATGACGTAATAGAGGTAAAGGATTTGCAGGAATTACGTAGTATATGTTATTTCAAATTCTCTATACCGTGGTCCCTCGCTACAACGCTACCAATGGGGTCCAAATAATTGGTGGGCGTTATAGACGATGAGCGATCTTCGCCTTGTCTCGCACATTGCAATGATACAAGTTGTTTACCGTTCATAGTGTAAAAATATATATCCATTATGTTTTCGCCGTTTGTAATTATTTACAAGCCTTAACTGTCACATTCAATGTGAATGTAGTCTACTTACATGAAAATATCGATCGTTAATGGTAGTAACAGACGCTATGATTGAAGAGCCAATCACAATTCATTACACAAGTACAGAGTGATCAGTGGCATTGATTGGTCATGGTTACTTGATCCGAATCAAAAGGAATGACCGCCGTGTTGTGACAGCAACTACATGTGAGTTGACAGTGTCGCCTCAAATTGGATTGCCCACTAATTAAGAAAATAAACTTCGCTTGTGGTTCTCTTTTATTGCATGCATGCGCTTCTAAGATCAAAGGATGTATAGTGTGAAAAGTTAACTAGTAGAACAATCGTATTTCCGGGACTTGCCGCGGATGTTTTCAAACAGATTATTAGAACTCCATTCTGCGATAAACGGTTGATTATGATTATTATTATGTTATGCAATGAGAAGCGTTATGTGCAAATGAACAACGAACAACAATACAATCACGGCTGTGTAAAACTCTCAGTATTAAAAGTGTACATAAATTTTGGGAGCCATGCGATACCGCGCGTAGTAACCGAGGTAGCGCTTTATCGAAGAGCCCAATAGCGAGGGATCACTGTACTTGCTTCTTAACACATTTCAAAACAAGCACGAAATACTCACATCCCCCGCCAATATGATATGTCGGGTTGTGTGCATTGTAAATGGCCTAATTGCAGCACTAAAAAAAGTTATTACTGGTGTTGTTTGTCCATCTGCAGTTTATGATAGAATATGTAACTGAATTTGTAATTAGTAAGGATGAGACATATCGACGAACAACTTCTTTATTACAATTAGGAGCGATGGTTTCGGTGAAGGTACTGACACCGTTATCAAGCAAGTGAAGTACAGAGTATGGTTGACAAGAATATATAGTGTTTATACAGTTGAGTAGGTTTAAGATCAGTTACACTGTTGTATTTGTAATGAGTTGTGTTTCTGCATGAAGTTAGTCAGTGAATGCAACAACTGTGTCCATGACACTTTTGGAGGAACATACACTCAAGCAATGCAGAACTTACCAACAAGAAAGGAAATGAATTCAATACTGTGAGATGGCATTATGTGCCAAGTTTGGTGAAGAAATATAGTACGGTTTTCAAGATCTGCTCCGGAAACGAGGACTACCGCCATTTTCAGTCTAATTCAAAGTCGTTGCCATGGAATCTTGAAAAATATTTTTGAAAAATCCTAAACTATCAAAAGGCACCAGTTCACCACTAGATCTATCTATGTGCCAAGTTTGGTGAAGAAATATGGTACAGTTTTCAAGATCTGCTCCGGAAACGAGGACTACCGCCATTTTCAGTCTAAATCAAAGTTGTTGCCATGGAAACTCAATTTTTTAAAACTTTTTTAAATCCCAAACTATCAAAAGGCACCAGTTTACCACTGGATCTATCTATGTGCCAAGTTTGGTGAAGAAATCTCGTACGGTTTTCAAGATCTGCTCCAGAAACGAGGACTACGGCCATTTTCAGTCTAAATCAAAGTCGTTGCCATGGAAACTCGAAATTATTTTTTTTTTAAATCCCAAACTATAAAAAGGCACCAGGTCACCACTAGATCTATCTATGTGCCAAGTTTGGTGAAGAAATATGGTACGGTTTTCAAGATCTGCTCCGGAAATGAGGACTACCGCCATTTTCAGTCTAAATCAAAGTCGTTGCCATGGAAACTCAAAAAAAATTTTAAAAAAAAATCCCAAACTATCAAATGGCACCAGTTCATCACTAGACCTATCTATGTGCCAAGTTTGGTGAAGAATTATGGTACGGTTTTCAAGATCTGCTCCGGAAATGAAATGTGACAGACGGACGGACGGAAAGACGGACGGACGGCACCCATTCCTATATCCCCCTTCCACTTCGTGGCGGGGGATAATAATCTGTGAAGAGTAAGTGGAAAAAATTGAAATTTTGCAAGATGATTGCTATGGTGGCCATGTTTAAAATGGGATTGGAATTCTGTGAGCACTTTTCGGGGCATGGATTAGACGCATCATAAATATTAGTAAAATCTAAATATTTTTTACATTTGTATACTTATCCTGCATTACTCCATATTGCATTTACTGCTGTCTTTGACAGAGAGACGAACTGTGTGAGATCCAGCTGCTGAAGAAAGTTGTCCCAACCAGTCCAGGAGGCAGCGCCCTCTCACAGTCGGCACGTGACCCGGAAGTCATGACGTCACACAAAAAAAATAACTGCTTTAAACATAACATCTGAAACTTCGTGGGGAGGTAGCGTAGCGAAAGGGAGGGCACTTAGACTTCGTAATGCAGGATAAGTATACAAATGTAAAAAATATTTAGATTTTACTAATTTTTTTAACTTATCCTGCATTACTCCGTATTGCATCTTTATCAGACGGCATGGCCGGTGGGCATACCTGCAGATGTGAACCATATTAAACCCTCGTCAAGGTCCGATGAATCCGCACCGCATACAAGTGATGACCGGAACATCTACGACCATTCCTGTCTTCAGGAAACAAGAGTCGATGCAAAAACGAAACGCCCGAATAGGTAACCGAAATACAATGAGGCGTGTAGCCAAAATATATAACTTACCGAAGAGCGAAAGCGAAACGCAGTAGAGCCCTCTAATCTGAGGTGATAAACACCAGAGAGTTCGACGGGCCCCGCTCGGGGAATCGAAGAATCAGCGGCGTCGGCGGCAAAATCTACGACCAATCCCAAGAGCGAATGCGAAACGCAGGAGAGCCCTCTAGGCTGGAGGCAAGGAACACCGGTGAGGTCGACGGGCACCGCTCAGGTACCAGAGAAGCAGCGGCGTTGGCGTTGGCGTCGGCGCCGGTGTCCACATCAACTACCATTCCTGTCGTCAGGAAACGAGAGTTGATGCAAAAAGTAAAACCCGGATAGGTGACAGCAATAGAATGAGTCGGGTAACCCAAAACTAAAACTGACCTAAGAGCGAATGCGGAACGCAAGAGAGACGTCTCGTCTGGGGTGATAAACACCAGAGAGGTCGACGGGCCCCGCTCAGGGTATCGGAGAATCAGTGGCGTCGGAGATAGATGACCTGTTGGGCTACAACCAGGGACCAAAACTGTGAACGCCGGCGACAACTTTCAAGGCTACATCACGGAAGTAGTGGTTGGTGAAGGCGGTGTCCGATCGCCACGAACAGGCTTCCCTGAACGACTGGATGGAACAGTATACCGTGAAGAACCAGTGTAAATACGATCGCCCTGATCTCATTTTATTTCAGGTGATAGCCTTTGGGGGGAGGGTCCAATCCGACGGCTCATAAGCTTTAAGGATGACCGCCCGGAGCCACAGGGAAAAGTATTCCGGCTGACCAACGACTGCGACGAAGGGGAGACCGGCAGAAAAAGGTGTTTCCTAGACTTGCGGCAGTCTTTAGATCGTAGAATAACCTTCAGTGCCCTTACTGGGCATAATGACGCTCATCCTCATCCTCATCCTCGGCACCCACACTGGACGAGGGGGGAGGGGACAAGGAATGATCTATCAGGCTGTCCTGGGAGTTGAGTCTTTACGCTGACGTCCCAGTACGGTCCATGATGAACGGCGCCCTGGGTACCGCATTCGAACCGGGCACGGGAGACGTCGAGGGCGTGCTGTACATGGACTCGAGCGGCAGTAGTCAAAACCAGTAGAAACACCCGTCTTCTACTTAAGGTCGTAGAAGGAAGACGAGGGGAGTGGTTCCAAGGGCGTTGAAGACCACATTCAGATCCAACGCAGGCGGTCCGAACTTGGCCTTCAGGTCTTCAAGACTGAACGAGCGCAGCCAGGCCCGTAGGTCGGGAATTTTCGTCTTTCTCCGATCGTCCGGGATGGCCAGAACGGAGTAGATGGCGACCAGGTATGTGGGGGTGGTAAGCCCTTCAACCGACGGGTGCTACGCAAGTACAGAAGGAACTGATCCAGGATCTGCGGTGACGCTGTCATCGGATCCTGGTGTTTGTCAGAACAAAATGCCTGGAACAAGCATCATTTATCAGCATACAGTCCCCCTGTAGATGGAGGGTGGGCTGAAGCAATAGCCTTGGTCGCTCTAGCCGAATAGCCCTTGGCTTTCTGCATGTGTGTCAGGCGTGCAGACGATAACATGCGGGTATGAGGGTGTGGCAACAGACCGTGTGGTTGGACCACACCGGAAGTTCCAGGGGTTGTCTCTGGCTATGTTTCGGAGGTCGATAACCCAACTTCTGGCTGACCAATAAGGCGAGACCAAAGTCAATGGCAGGGGTCGAGTGGCCTGGATCTCTGAAGAACCGTGGGAGGGAGAACCGGAGTCGGAAAAGCGTACGCGCGTAATCCTTCTCAGGAACGATGGAAGGCTTCGACTGCCACAGCGGTCGTATCCGGCACAGCTGGCCACATTCAGATATGAGGCAAACAGATCTAGGGTTGGGGTGTCGACCGTTTGACATAGTCTGGCCCGAGGCGCCGGAGAGCTTGAGGCGCCTGGAACGCCGAAGATGGTGATTCTCGGGGGTGCCGGTCGAGTTTGTAGCGCCGGGAGAGGGGCGAGAACTCTGGGTCCGCAAACAACACACTACGGTGACGTCGTCAGTGGACACGATCAACAGGGCGTGACCGAGAATGCACTGTCAGCAAGTGCCGTCCTGGATAAGCCTTTATCTCGAGGCTGTTGCTGTGCCAATGGTGTTGATCTCTGGATCACAGGTGGTCACAATGTGGGCTGGCGTGGGCCACTAGCCACTGACAAGGTGGCAGGGGAGGTAGTCAGCAACAGGGGTCTGCAATTGCGTACCGTCGGTACGATTCGGAAAAAGGTGTGATCGCCTGCGAGCCAACCTCAAGTAGACGAAGTAAACCAGCTTCACAATCGACCGCCGGGGCATCGACGTAACCGGGTAGTAGGAAGTCGAGGCAATATGGCCATTGCACGAAGTAATGAGATCGTTTTCATCCCTGAAGCGGCGTATAAGTACTCCTGTTCTTATATCGAGGTGACGATGGAGGACGACAACACGATACGAGGCAGGTATGCAACAGGGGTCAGTGGGACGGCCGAGGGACTTTAAGTATCAAATCGACACTGTGTCCGGTAGTCAAGGCGGAAGATAGGAAGGTGTCGTAGTCGAAAAGATCAAACCGGACGAAGGAAGGCGATCTTTTCCATCCCTTGAACGCCTATAGGCGCTATCGTTCTTATAGCGAAGGGTTGATGAAACAAGGTTCCTCGCGACAGCCGTGTTGGTAGAGGAGGTCTATTGTTTCCAACATCCGTGCATGGATGGACTGCGACAGGCGCCTGGTTGAGTGGTATCACCAAGCGTACAGGTAGACATGGACACCAATCTGTAGAAATACATGGCACCCCTTGCCATGGTAAGTTGACCTAAATCCGGTCGGAGTTGTTGACAGTCCGAGTACTTGACACGTGACATGTAAATCACTCTGCGCAGTAGCCGAGAAAACCGCCTTGGCGTCGGAACTGAGGTGCAAACTCCACACACAGACAATCCTCAATGAACTGTGTGAGAGACGATCAAGTGGTGTACCCGAGTTTTGCGATAAAACACGGAACCCCATGGGCGTCGTGGAAAACCCGGGGAGCGCCGAGGAAGAGTCTCTCTCAGGAACGCTGGCGCTAGGGTAGGGTAGAACAGCGTTGATGTCTGCGATGTCGACGAAGTAAACTCTTTGTAAGTGGATGTCGTCGTCGAATCTGATACAGACGCTGTTCACATGACGCTCTGTTTCGATGGAAACCCGCAGGTCATCTCTCCGGAATCATAGCGCTTTAAACGACGGGATTATGGATAACGTCTCAGTGGGCAAGTTGAATCAGACCAACTGTCTATTGGTTGAAATGATTCCACCCAGGAAGTAGAAGATAGTCACGATCCCGAAGACCGACGGGAGAGTAGCGACAGGAGCGGCGACAGTTGTTTCACCATGCTTCTCCGTGTGACGAGTTATGAGACGGCAGCAAGAGAAGAGGGCAGTGGCGCCGGGGAGGCGATTGCTGATGGTGCCCCTTAAGCCGCAGTAGAAGATCGGATGGTCGGCTCGTTGATCTGAGCTTGATAAAGCTTGTTGATCTGAAGCTTGTTGAGCGCCGAAGACATCAGAGGATGCGGAGGCGCCGGAGCGCGGAGACATCAGAGGCGCTGAGACATCAGCGGCGCTGAGTCATCAGAGGCGCCGAGTCATCGGAGGCGCCGTGAGCGCCGAGTCATCAGCTTGTCATGAACAAGTCATGAAGCTTGTTGAGCGCCGAGACATCAGCGGCGCCGAGTCATCAGCGGCGCCGAGTCATCAGAGGCGCCGAGTCATAAGAGGCGCCTCCGGCATCCAGGAGCGCCGGGACATCGGAGGCGCGAGTCATCAGAGGCGCCGTGTCATCAGAGGCGCCGAGTCATCAGAGGCGCCGGGAGCGCCGTGTCATCAGAGGCGCCGGAGGCCGTGGGTGCCGAGTCATCAGAGGCGCCGAGAGCGCCATGTCATCAGAGGCGCCGGAGGCGCCGAGACATCGGAGGCGCCGGAGACATCAGCGTTGACGGTGTTGGAGACCGTGAACGGTCGTATGTCGTGCCAGGGGAGGCAGACTCTACGTTGGGAGCGCTGGAGCCGCCAGTGGAGTAGGAGACCGTGAACGGTCGTATGTCGTGCCATGGGAGGCAGACTCTACGTTGGGAGCCGCCGTGAAGCTCCGCTGAGCGCTGCTGCCGTCAACGTAGGTGGGGGTCGACGAGCACGTTGAGCGAGGTGTGTCCTGGATACTCGCATGAGCTGAAGGATCACAGCGACGAATGACTGCAACATCGGCACTGCCTTGTGAAAGTACAGGGCGTCGTACAATCACGGCAGAAAGGGGCGGCCCCGACCAGATTTGTTCCCGCGGCAACAAGTGCAGCGAGGCAGAAAATCTGGAATTTAAGCAAAACATAACTATGTGGCAAAGCCACAAAGTGCGGGAAGCATAATGTGAGGCCAATCACAAAGTATGGGAAGCATAAAGTAACTCAAAAACAGTAGTTTTTATTAAAGTTTATGAGATAAACAAGTACGCTAAAAGGGAGCGAAAAGGCAAGGCTTTAAGCACACCAAAACAACATACATAAATGTAATGTATTACCCAAGCCAAAGAGAGAATTCAAAACGCAGAGCACGACATTACGTGACCACGTGGTGAATGGCCAAAATGGCGGGAAAGAAAACAAAATGGCGGGAACAACATTGCGCCCGTAAATTACTGTGACGTGAGCCACAGACGAGCGATAAACGTTACAATTTACGAATGGGAAGACCCTAAGGTCACGGCCCATAACAGGTAACAATGTAGCAGCATATAATGAATGTAGAAACACGCAAAATATAAAAAACAAATAATAAGCTTTAATTTCCACAAGGGATACAAAGTACGTCCGTCCGTGGAGGTGACAAAGCAGTTATGTCTTTTTGTGTGACGTCATGACTTCCGGGTCACGTGCCGACTGTGAGAGGGCGCTGCCTCCTGGACTGGTTGGGACAACTTTCTTCAGCAGCTGGATCTCACACAGTTCGTCTCTCTGTCAAAGACAGCAGTAAATGCAATACGGAGTAATGCAGGATAAGTTAAAAAATTGGACATTATTATAATCTAAACTTCTGAAGTTTTCAATTCTAGTGGATTACAAGAAGTGAATACACAATAGGTGGTACTGAGGCGTGATCAGTCCGGGGACTTACATCATAGTTATTTTGAGCAGCATAGTGAAGAGGTGTTGCACCATTAGAGTCCGAGCTTGCATAATCAGCACCACTGTCCAGGAGGAAACCCACAATCTTCGAATGGCCTGAAGTACCAAGTCAAAATGTTAATAAAAATTAGACTATTAGAATATATTCTCTATTTAATACTTAGCTTATATTACATTAGCATATTCTTGCTTTCAGGTAGAAAGTATCCATGGAAAGATCACTTCAGAAGATTGTATTTTTGATACAGTTGATATAGTTGTTGAACCAGTAGTACCCCAACACTGCTCCCTGGAGTTGCCTCCCATGCCCCTCTGTAGTCACTGAGTTTCTTGTGCCCACCTGAATAATGTGTGGGGAGTGAGGGGTAAGTCCAAGGGAGGGCACTGAGACATGCAATGCAGGCTAGTATTAAATAGAGACTATATTCTAATATTCAGTTATCTTTTACATTGTGCCTGTAGGTAAGTGGCGGTCAGTACCTTCAGGAATGATTAAGAACAACACATGCTTGGTGACGCCCGGAAGATCCCTACAGCTGATTGGTTGCAGCGCGCAGTTGACGTATGTCGCACACTTCAACTGGAAGTGATTGATCCATCCTTGTAAGTCTGTGAAACCTGAGTATCAAATTCACTAAAGAGACAAGGCCCATCTAGGGGCCGACGCTGCTATGCAGGCTTCATAGATCTCCTGGGGCATTGTGAAAGTCTGATGAGGGGGTCTGGTTGTTGATTCTTAGGTAAGAAGTCCCAAACTAGAAAGGTTGCTATGTGGATAAGATCCTTGGTGGCCTTCACCTTCTGGATAAAATCCCAGTCAGTCTTCCGTGTGTGTAAAGAGAGTTGAGTATGGTCTGGTATGACTGCCTCTAGTTCCAGGTTGTTGATGTGCCAATCCTTGAGGATGTCTGCCCACAACCCGTAGGTAGAATCTGTAATCTGGTAGGCCAATCTCACATTGATGTTCTATAAATGTCTTGTATGAAAATGGTATAAACCTATTTTGTCTAGGGAAGGTATGCATTTTGAGGCAACACCTCACATGACAGACATTGTTCAAACCCCCACCAAGTTTAATTAAGTACCCTACATCTAAAACCTGCCTCAACCTTGATTGTCAAATCCGAGAATCTGCAATACTCCAGGCACTCAAATGGTTGCCTGTAAACAATCAAGTCTGGCACACAAGTCACGGAAAACATGGCATACTATCAGCCAAATCCCGTCAGTTCAGTCTTAGTTCGACAAGGTTGGCATACTGAGGATCTATTGTTCCCCGGAATCCCCATGTGGAATCAGTTGGATTCATTAGCAGTCATCAGAACGATATCTCTCATCTCTTACCCAGCACAGCTGCCCAATGCAGGGGAGTTCGGAACCAGTTGTCCAGCGCAGACACATTACACTTCCGTACACTTGTCTGTACCAACACATTGACGATACTCTCGTTGCCGTCAGCAACTGCCAGATGTAGAGCTGTCCTTCCCTCGTAGTCCTGCCAGTTGATCACACTTGGGGTGGTTTCCTGCAAGAACAACAGATGTTATTACAAACAGATGAAGATTACCCAGAACTACTTACACAGAGTTTACTGTAGGAATATCAGTCACCGCTGTGAATATCCCTATTACCCACCACTAGTTAATGAATAAATCATTAACCTGGACAATATGCTATTTGCTGCATCAGGTGGGGATTCAGGTGTATGTACTCACCAAGATAAGTTTGACACAGCTCACAGCCTGACGGTCTCGGCTACTGGCGGCCCAGTGGAGTGGGGTCTTGCCATCTGTGTCTGGGATACCGATATTTGAATCCTACATGAAATCCATGCATGAAAAAGAAAATAATTATGCAAGCAGACAGAAACTGAAATACTGAGAAACTGACATAAATTATCGAAAAAGGTCAACTCTTTCATTATCAGTAAGTACTAACTCTAAGGGAGATAACTCTATAAACATCATAGCAAACTCGCCAGGAGATTCATATTATTTTTAGAAGAGAAAAACAATTCCTCTTATGAAATCAACAAAGCAGAATATCTACTCATGCCTGTTGGCATAGAAGAAACCAATTGATGCTCTGACAAACTGCATCTTATTTTTTTATTATTGTACTCAACATTCCTGGTTTTCTGAGCAAAGGACAAACATACCGACTTGATGAGCATCTTGACATGTTCCAGGTTCCCATAGGAGGCTGCCCAGTGCAGGGCTGTTCTCTGAAACACAGACATGGTGCTACATAAACGCTGGATGATATAGTAGCAGTAAATGAAGGTAAATATGACATATTCAGTTGAATATCATTTGCAACAAAATATAATTCCTGCCTTCTGGTCCTAATTCCTAGATGGAGCCACCTGCTCAGGACCCCACATTGACCAACAATGAAGCTGCAGCAGCTCCCTCTTGTGTTACCTTGTTGTCGTCCTGGTCGTCCATCTCCCCTGGGGTCAGCTGCCGCAGCAACAACGCCATACACTTGGGCAGCTTGTGTCGTGTACAGAGATGTAGGGCAGTCTGGCCCTCATTGTCCTTCTCTCGACAGTCTGCACCTTTTGACACCAGCATCTTCATCAGCCGATAATTACCCTGCAAACACAGCATCGGGATCTGTGTTACATCTTAGGTCACAGATAACAGAAGAAATTAAACATTAATAAAAAATTTACAATAAATCTAGTAAAATCCTAGATAATTTTTATATTTGTATACTTATCCTGCATTACTCTTTCATGCATATAACTGCTTGTTCTTGATAGAGAAAAGAGCTGTGTGAAGATCTTTGCTTGAAGAAGTTGTTCCAACTAGCTGAGAGGCCAGCCCATCACGCAGCTCCCACGTGACCAAAGGAAGTGACGTCACGGATCCTCACATTACTCTGGAGTCTGGACATCGGAAGGCATCGTGGGGAGGCACCTCGCGATGGGCGGGTCTCTTTAGATGCAGTAATGCAGTATACAAATATAAAAAAATGTCTAGGATTTTACTAGATTTTTCACTTATCCTGCATTACTCCTTCATGCATCTTTATCCGACGGAATCAGTAGAGGGCATACTTTCAGATGTGTACTTTCATCTCAGACCTCTGTTCCCCCAGCCAGACCTCGGCTGTGTGGTCAGCATCAATAACCATTTCATGGATGGGAACCAAGAGTCCAGTATGCGGTGTGTCCAGGTACTACGCAGCCTTAGACGATAACCTTACTCAAGTTAAAGTTGTAGACTGGTGTACCGAGCTGTATGCAGGTGGTGCATGAACCTTCTATTCCAGGGCATTTAAGCCAAGGGAGGTTCAGTGGCCGGCTCTGGACTGTAGGCGAGGTCAGTGGCGTCTAGTAGTGGAGACCTGTTGGGCTACTGCTAATGGACCAAACTGTGTGTGCCTGGCACATCCTCCAATGGAACGTCTCGCAGGTGGTGACTGGCGAAGATTGTGTTTGATTGCCAGAAACAAGTCCTCCATGATGGCACGTATAGAGCAGTTGCTATGTAGCGTCATGGTGGAGGCGACCGCCCGGGTTTCATGCGGGTTGTTGGAGCTTGGGGGGTCCAATCCCGCAGCCTCGTTGGCCTGGAGAATGATGGCTTGTAGCCAGAGGGCGATTGTGATGTGGTTGACTCCTGCTCGCGAGATCGCAGATACCAGTATGAAGAGGAGTCGTCGTCTACTGCATTCCTTGGACAGATTGATGTAGCAATGGAGGGCTCTTCCAGGGCACAGATGGAATGATCTATCAGGCTGTCCTGGGAGCTGGTTTTTGGCCATGAAGTTACTGCACAGTCCAAGATGGACGGCTCCAAGCACTCCATGCTCAAGGCGGACATGCGTCGAGTGGCTCGAAGGGTGCATCTCTCAGCAAGGTGAGAATGACGTTCAAGTCCCAAGCTGGTGGACGAAATTTCGCCTTCTGGTCTTGCTACCTGAGTGAGCGGAGCAGAGCCTGTAGTTCCATGATTTTTGTCATGCGCCGAACTGCGAGGATGGAGTTGAGTGCCACAAGGTAGGTCGTTATGGTACTACTCTTCAGTCTATGCTTGTGGCGAAGATAGAGCATGAACATGGCCAAGTTAGTATTCAACTGTTTGCTCAAACCAAGACAAGGTGATATGACATTGTTTTTTACTGTGCATTATACACAACATGGCAGTAGTTCCCTAAACCTGTACTCCAGAATTGGGAGTGCATATTATACCCAAGAAAATTAGGCAGTACCTTATGTGCTGCCCAGTGCAAGGCTGTCCGACCCCCTTTGTCCCGGAGGTTGATCTGTGCCCCAGCCTTCAGCAGCGTCTCTGCACACTCCAGTCTGTCGGCCAGCACACAGAACATGAGGGGACTCCGCCCGAACTGATCCCCTGCATCAAGCTCATGGGGGTAGGCTGAAACGTGAGTTGGTTTTAACGCAGCTTTGAACAGTATTCTAGTTAGGTAATAGCATGTCTGCCTAATGTGGGAGGAAAGCCCAAATTGATGCAGGTCTCAAACGTTTACCACTTTGTTGAAACCCAGTGAACACGTTTATGTTAAAACGTTTATGTGAACACACTTTGGTGAACACGTTTATGGTGCAGACAAATCTAGAAACAATCAGGGCAAATGAGGATCTGAACCCAGTCATAGGTTTCTTGTGTGCCCAAAGGAGGCAACTCTGCACAGTGAATTGCTACACCTTAGACAACTGGGCCACTCATGCCGCCATAGGCTGATAAGAAACAGTACTGTGGACTGTTGATTGTAGGGGTGTCACAAGACTCTTACCTCAAGTATATTTGGGGGCATGGGTGGCCCAGTCGTATAAGGCGCTGTGATTCGCTGTGCAGAGTTGCGTCCCTTGGGCATCGCCAGAAACTTATGATTGTGGGTTTGAATCCCGGTTTGCCCCGATTATGTTTCTAGGCTTGTCAGCACCATACCTGTGCTGTGAGTTTAACCAAAGTGGTAAACGTCGGAGACTTGCATCACTTCGGGCTTTCCTCTCACATTAAGCTGACACGCCGTGATATAACTGGAATACTGTTAAAAGCGGCGTTAAGCCCAACTTATTCACTCACTCAAGTATTGATACATATTGCAATACTTGAGTGACGATATGATACATATTGTGATACTCGATTTATGCAATTTGTTGCTATCAGCCAGTTTGTGTTTAACATGCAGGACTGGGTAATTTAGGTTTGCTCTATACTTTGATGCAATAAGAATTGAGCATTTTGTTTGCCTTTTATGCGGTAAGGTAACAATGGTAACAACCTGAATTTATTGTCTAAATCTAACCAAGATAGTTTTTCATGCATCATTAATACACCACTTGCTGGAAGCTGTGCATAGCTCACATTCCAACGGTCACTACTGGTAACACACAGGCCTGGTTAGGGTAACGTCAAACAAAAGCTGGTTTACAGATCTGCTGACACCAAATTAAAAGGTGAACAAAACAAAATCTGAAATTAGTGAAAAGCATTATTTTTTATTCAGCCAACTACAAACTTACGTATTCATAACATAAGGCTTAATAAAATAAAGAATTGGTTCTCAGGCAATGGTTTTTGAAAATATAGTACGGGCGGGCGGTGTCTTTTTCTTCTTCTCTTTTGGGGGGGTTGTTCAAACTCAGTATGTAACCAAATAAACAGCTGTGTAAACCAATGAAAATAGTTGTGTGCAATCAGCCTGGGAAAGGGCCTCCCAACATAAATGTATTCCTTGATGAGAAAAATACTAAAATACTGTAGCCTAATATGTTAGGCTTGCTTTATTAACACTGACATGTGGCATCATATTGAACAAAAAATTTAAGAGCTGAAATTATATCTGAAATATCATTTTTTTATTTTTGTACCGATTACCAACAAGGATTTTTGAGAAAGAAAACAATTAAACCAAGAAACGAAAAAGTGTGACCCTACAAGACTCAGGACGCCATACCTGCCACAAGCCTGGTGAGGGTGGGCTTGTCTCCGTTGACGGCAGCTGCGTGAAGCTGAGTGACACTCTCTAGTCGGCCATTACCATTGGCAAAAGGGCTCTTCGGGGTCTCCACCTAGTGGTGCAGAAACACGAGAATGTCACAGAATGTCACAGGGGTTGGGACTTGAAGGAGCTCAGTACTTTACTTCTCAGCAACTTTTGATAAGTCACGTAAATAAACTTCTCAACCTGTGGAGAGGCTATATGATTAGTGAAATTGGTCGAGGAATAGGTAATCTTTTGGTTGATAGTGTGAGCATCTGGTGAGCCAGGCAACAAGTCATATGCTGTCATATGCTGTCATCGAGGTGGTCACCAGTCAAAGCAGTATTTAATCAAACTCTGCACACCACTTAGGACAAGCATGGTGTACTCAGGACACAAACTTGCCTCTGACTTCTCCTGAGCATTTACCTGTGGCACTGCAGGACTGGAGGGGCCAGCCACGGCGGTCATCTCCCCTACCGACACCTGAAACAGTAACACCACCTCAACAGTTGCCATCAAATAAAACCCCATTTGAGCAGATACCAGGACCTGGATACCTGCGGTATATAAAACACTTGGCTGATACTGAAACATTCCTCTGGCTCAATCGTCGCTTCTGATGCAGCATACCTGGTACAGACTGTAGGACACGGGGGAACAGGTGCACAAACAACAGTATTCACCTGATAACATTTTGAAAGTATGTGACAAAGTGCCAAAACAAACCCAGAAATGTTCATATTGTCATGATAAAGGTAGGTAAGGTTAAATTTGTTAAAAGTGATTGCTATGATTAAAAATTATGAAACAAACCTCAAAATATTACAATTATTCAACTGATATATAAGAATAAGATACTGAATTTCAACTTAATTATATAAATGATATTAACTGAATTTCAGTCCACAGCCTCTCAAGAAACACCCCTTGGCACATCTTAGCTTGATTCTGATAACTTCAGTTTAATCCAATGAAGAAACAAATGCATATTCAAATACTGCCTCAAATTAATCAGACATCTGAGGACTACTGAATGATCGACAACTGGTGAGTATCCACACAGTTCTGACCAGGAATATTTCATAACCCCATCAAGAATCCTGAAGTCATACATATGCAGTCAGCAACTACAGCCACTAACCTGAAGCCAGAGCTGCTACTCCATTCTGTCTAGTAAGCTAATAATAGTCCATATATACAAACAAATAAAACCCACTGACAATGATGGCTAGTAGATTTTGAAGATTTTAGCACAGACTGCATATCTGTGTCCAGTTGTGTGATCATGATGGTTGGGAAAATGTAAATCTGTCCACCTAAACCTATCTGTACAAATACTGAATTTGGAAGGTTTTTCATTTAGCAAACACGGAATGTTGTTGTGCTGGTTACCTACCCTGCTCGTCTCCTCCCTGAATGTGTGAAGGACCCTGGGGGTGACACAACACACACACAGCACCTGGGATATCCCCCACCCCACAGACCCATACAGGGAGTGGCCACTGTCTTCAGACAACATCCTTGCTCTGGCACATCCCTAAAACATCCTAACTTTAGTACTCACTTTCCAGTTTGTTTCCCATTTGATACTCAGTCAATAATCATGATAAATGTCGTGTCAGACGTCTAAACCTTTTGTGTTATCATGAAATCAAAACATCAAATATTCTGCTGTCAACATGGTTCCTTACGACAGCATTCAGTCTTTTCATAAAGTTGTCAAAATATCAACAATTCCAAATATGCCTTTCAAAATGGAAATATAAAATTGACAGTCTTGAGTGCATGAGTACAGGGTCACAAGGAGGGCTGTGAAGTGTGGGGAACACGGAGGGACACACAGACAAGTGGCAACCAAAATGGTGGAGTAAACTGTAGGAGTAGCTGCGTAACCTGATCTGTGTCTGGCTGAACCGAGATGGCGGTGGAGTCTATGGCAGAGACAGAGCATCTGGGGAGGGGAGGCTGTAGAGGAACTGCTTACAGCAGCTGCAGCCACTCACTGAGGGGGGGGGGGGGAAGGAGGTGAGGGGCCATTGTGTGCTGGTTTTGTGTGTGTGTGCTGGTTTTGTGTGTGTGCTGGTTTTGTGTGTGTGTGTGTGTGTGTGTGTGTGTGTGTGTGTGTGTGTGTGTGTGTGTGTGTGCGTGCGTGCTGGTTGTGTGTGTGTGTGTGTGTGTGTGTGTGTGCGTGCTGGTTGTGTGTGCTGGTTGTGTGTCTGTCTGTGTGTGTGTGTCTGTGTGTGTGCTGGTTGTGTGTCTGTGTGTGTGTCTGTCTGTGCTGGTTGTGTGTGTGTGTCTCTGTGTGTGTGTGTGCATGCGCGCGCTAAACAATCAGTAGCATTAATAGGCATAATACAAAGGAAAAAACCAGGATCATCAGACAAGAGGTACTTCCCTCTATTCCATAACAACTTCTGCATAACACTCTTCCTACTATCTCATTACTACTGCAGTAGTGATATCATTACTGCAACATCATCTCAACATACTCAGACAGTTTTTAACTGTTGCCTTTAACAAATTGATATTTATTTGGGAAGGATCATATACATTTAATATGATATACTTATTTTGAGAATGGTCACATAAAAGCATAACAAATATGATACTGTATTTGCCATAAACGTCCTGCTTCATTAAGTGCCCCCTGACAAACATTTTGATTTCAATGTAAATAATCATATTAGCGACCCTTCAAAAATTGAAAATTTACATGATAGTCTATTCCTACTTGTGTACATTAAAGATAAAAAAAATTATGGAATGGAGATATGGAATAGCACAGATGGGGAATATAATTACCATGTTATTATTAACACTTTGTTTTAGTTTCATCATTTGTACTAAGATTGTACACTACTACTTGATCTTTTAAAACAAGAACAGATTTAACAAGTCCTCTTCCCCACTGGCCCTTATTTCTATGTATACAGTATTCTTTTTGGGGTGGTCATAGATCATATTGTTGGTTTGTTTGTTGTTGTTGAATGCCACTCTCAGCAATATTCCAGCTATAAGACGGTGGTCTGTAAATAATCGAGTCTGGATCAGACAATCCAGTGATTGATATCGTGAGCATCGATCCACGCAATTGGGATACGATGACATGCATCAACCAAGTCAGTGAACTTGAGCACCCGATCCCGTTAATCGCCTTTTAGGACAAGCATGGATTGCTAGAGACCTATTCTAAGCTGGATCTTCACAGGAAAGCAGCTGCTGTGACAATATAGAGTCATTTCAGGAAGGTCAATGAACAAGCATTGGAATGCACGGGCCATCTTCGTACACTCACGAAGAAACATTATCTGTAAAGTATGCATGTTGCAGTTTAATGTTGATGAAAGGACCATGAAACTAATACTGCCGCCTCGTCTGTGAGTTTGTTTTGATAGAATATTAGTTCCGTTACATGGCCCTGTGGCGCGGAGCTCTATGTTTATAAATAATTTGAAGAATCCACTTTTGCAGTTTTTTAAGGATATTTGTTACATCGGCATATTTATTCCACAACAATCACACTGGGTCTGTCTTTCATATATCCCATTTCTCACGGCGGATTAATACCTGATACTATCATCGGCGATAGGCTACAAGCTTGTGTCGACTTTGACTAACTGTACCGGTGTAGCGCAGAGAAACAGGTGCCCGTGAACATGGGGTCAACTGACGTGTCTGAAACCCTGTGGTCAAATACGATATATGTGTATTCATGATGACATTGTCTTCGAATATTGTAAGTACTCCAATACCATAGGCGTTCGCTCCATACGGAGGATAAATGCCGCCCGTGCACACTCACATTTCACTGTAACATTTGACAGTCATCTTATAATCCGCCATGTCGTCAAGGACAATAACCACATGTTTGAAAGGGAAAGCTTGATTGGTGCATTGAAGCGAACAAGTCATGTAACAATTCCCGTGATTGGAGCGTGTTTCTCTAGGTTTTGGCACAGACTACAGTTATTTCCCTTTGATAATGAATCTATTCAAGTTGTCCAACCCACTTTGCATCTTTCTATGAGGTAAACAATTATATTGGTACGAGCAAGCTCCGACGTTCATACAGTTTGGCCCTCACTCTATGAAGGTTAATACTCCAATGAACTCGAAAAAAGTGAAGGTCAATTCCTAAATCTATACAAAAGTACAGCACTGTATGTTATATTAAGACAAAAGACTTAGCAAGTATACACGTTCATTTAAAGTCCATGGACACGTTCATTTAAAGTCCATTGACACATTCATTTAAAGTCCATGGACACGTTCATTTAAAGTCCATGGACACTGTGTTGGAACAAGTCGGATGTTGTTTTACCAGATCGTAGACCTATAAAGATTAAGGAGTATATTAGTTATTGTTAAAGAAAATGATTTAAGATATGTGGTATCAAACACTGATATACATTTTCACGTATAAATGACTTTACTGAGAGTTTTTTTGGACAAAATTCTGATATTAAGGAATATATTAAAACAAAATTTTATATGGTATTTATTACATCATTGTGCCAAACACTGACTTTTTTGTGTAATCTGATATGGAATGGTGTAATATGTGAAGGTTCCTCTTGGTAGATGGTGGGTACTGGTTTGGACTCTTCCCTAACACGGTCTTCTGGTGGGCAACACAGTTGTCAACTTGGATCCTGCTTCGTCGGTAACGTGGTTATGGGTGTTATCCTTACAGGTGGTGATGATGCCGTTGTAGGTGTTGCGTGTTGACACGTCTTCGTTCAACATCTCCAGTAGACCCTACCCTCTTTTGTTTGAACTCTGAATTTATAACCACCATATACTATATTCTCACCGCCTTTACCATTAGGAATGTATTGTAATGCTGCTTGTCAGTTTGCCATGATTTTAATGCCACAGTGTCTGTGATTCCTCTTTATAAACGGGTGACACCACATTATAAACGAGTGACCATACATTGTAAACGAGTGAACATTTCATTTTGTCCCACTAGAGAGAATATTGCGCTTACCACCACTGTGCCTAGAAATAAAAGTTCAGTTCAGCCTGTGAGAACATTTGACCCCCACTTAATTCCCACCCACCGTATTGTCTCGACCATGTTGTTATAGGACCCATAGTCACGTGGACACAGCGGGGGTACACCGCCATTCCAAGAAGTACCTTTGAGTATTTTATTTATTTCACACTACCAAAGGTACTTTTCAGAAATTACCTTAACAAATGTTGTTGTTTTTCTATGTTTTTATGTTTATAAAGAGATACGTTAATGCAACGTATCTGGTGAAAAATAGACTGCCGAAATGAATGCGACGTCTCTCTGAGGGAAGTGAGGGATTTTACGTGCGCCTTATATGGATGATGAATACCTAACTCAGACATATTATACTGACTCCGAGCCGGCAAGTCCCTTTTAGCCCCCTTGATACTGAACGTCAGGCAGGGTAACAACAAGAACCATGTTATAATGTCTTGGACTTTGACACGACCAGGCGATCGAACTACTGACCTGCTCTCTGGACAGACGCTCCACCCATTATGTCACTGGGGCGGTAGCTCCTTTAGGAAAGAGCAGAGAAGGGCGATGTTTATTGCAGTAAAACTGAGCGAATATGAGTAAGCTTTGAGCCTGGTCTATCGAGATTGTTGTTATGCTTACGTGTGACATATGTTAGTAATGACCTGTGTGCTTTCAGTCAGTTTCCACAATTTGGCGTTCTTCAGTCCAGTGGCAAGCTGATAACTGACTTCCACTCTGAGGTACCCTATCTCTTAGCATTGAAATGGACAAAACTGAGTATATAGAGCAGTCATCGATTTTATTTTTACTAGAGTGTCCATCACCAACGGTTACATGCTGTTTATGGGAAGCTGACCAATCACATGTCACAATTAAACATTGGGTGAAGAAATTTCAGCATGTGTGAGAGGTATAGGCCTTGCAGTTAAACATTGTTTCTCTAAATATGTCACTATATTAGATTTTGAATCGGATTACATACTGTGTTTTAAACTATCTAAGTTAGCTTTCAATAGCAAAGATGACCTTTAAATTGGTATTGTGTACCTTCCACTTCCACCTGAAGGTTCTAAGTACGCCACTACAGACATGTTTGATCAGTTAGTACAAGCACTATTATATATGTACTCTCACACTGAAACTGTCATCCTTACAGGAGATTTTAATGCTCGTACTGGAACACTGTGTGAATATGTCTGTTAAGATAAACATTTGTTAGAGGAATTAGATATTGATACTGATGAAATGTCAGATGACTTTGATCCTGAATCTGTTCTAGATGAACTCGGACTTCCACGTCATCGATACTCGAACGATAGTAACAAAATTAATAATTATGGTTACAAACTGATTGATATCTGTATTAAATTTAATATGTTTATTTGCAATGGAAGAATGGACAAAGACCCAAAATCCGGAAAGGTTACCTGTAAGGATACAAGTACTGTTGACTACGTCATATGTTCCAACAGGTGCCTGTCATATTTTAAGAGCTTGAAATTGTTGATTTTTCTCCCCTATACTCAGATGTACATTGTCCTATAGCTTTTTCGTTATCAAGTATGAATAGCAGAATGTTTGGTAATGTACCTTAACCATCTACCAGTAGACCTGTAACAATTTCTACTAAACCCAAAAGACTCATCAAAAACAAACCAATACAGGAACAATATTGATGTTATGCAGATACAAGATGTAAGCACATTATTAGATAAAGTGGTTGATGACACTACGAAGGCAAATGAATTAATAAATAATGCAACTGTTATCTTCTCTGATATTCTTACATATGCAGCGATAAATACATTTGGCATACGCTCTTCCACCTCATATAATTATACTGGCAAAGATAAGAAACATAAAGTTAACAAACCTTGGTTCGGAAAA